TGGATACTGATCATCGTGTCTAAAAAGGAGATGTTGGTGCTGGAGTATTCTCGAGAGAGTTGGATGGAGGGACGGTGATTGGGTTCCATCAGAAATTCAACAATCAGAGATTGTAGGTTTTCAGTCCAAATGATGAAGATGTCATCGATGTATCTTGGGTATAGTAAGGGTTTGATGGTACAGTTCTTGAGGAAGTCTTCTTCCAGGTGGCTCATGAAAAGGTTGACATACCGTGGGGCCATTTTAGTGCCCATAGCTGTTCCCATCATCTGGAGGAAGTGTTGATTATTAAAAGTGAAATTGTTGCGTGTGAGGATGAAGTGTATAAGGTCAGGGTCTGTATCTTTGGGTCTGTATTCTGAGTTGTAATCTTGTTCCTGTAGATATGTAAGGCAGGCTTGGATGCCATCCTGGTGTGGCATGTTGGTATATAGGCTGGTAAGGTCCGTGGTGGCTAGGAGTGTGTTGCTGGGAAGGTGATTTCTGTTTTTAAGTTTCCGTAGAAAGTCAGTAGTGTCTTGTACAAAACTTGCTTGGTGGGTGACAAGCAGTTTTAGGATTGATTCAATGAAACCTGATATTTCCTCAGTTAGGGTCCCACGGTTGGATATGATAGGTCTGCCAGGGTTCCCTTGTTTGTGGATTTTAGGGAGCATGTAAAAAGTCCCTGGGGTTAGGTAGTGGGGGGGGATCAAGGTCTGTAGTTTTTCTTGTAGTCTTCATGGAAATGATTTGATGGTATTGTTGAGTTTTTTTTGGTGGAAAGGGGAGTAGGATCTTCTTGTAGTTCTTTGTAGTAGGTGGTGTCAGAGAGCTGTCTGTTGGCTTCCTTTATGTAGTCTTCATGGCTTAGGATGACTATGGCTCCTCCTTTATCTGCTGGTTTTATTGCTATTTGGTGGTTAGATCTTAGAGATTCTATAGCCTTTTTCTCTGGTAGAGAGAGGTTGTTGTGGTGGCGTGTTGCTGATTTATTTCATTGTTCATAGAAATTCAGTTTTTATGAATTGACACAACACTCAGCTTTTCTGCTATTCATCAACTTACTTTTAATAACGACCACCAAGTTACAAAACTAAATGACAGAAAAGGCATTAGGCAGACAAGATTCCTTGGGTGAATCTGATGTATAATGTTGGTCTAATAAAAGATACTTGTACTTATGAAAGTATTATATTGGGAAAGCTATTAGTCCTTAGTGTTAGCTGCACCAAGGTCTTTATCCAATGCAGGCAGGAAGCAGTTCTTGTACAGCCTCAAAGCCTGGGTCTTTCACTTGTTGGCTGGGTGGCAGGATGGCTTCTGGTCTGGACTGCACACACTTGCTGAGAAATCTGCTTCATTTTTATACTGTTTCTTCAAAGTGTTTTTCTTGGTGGTGGGCCAGTTAATGCGAGCAAAGCAGGGAGGAAAAGGTTGATCATTGAATTATAACTCTTAATTGCTTTCCTCCTGTGTTTGATTGTCTAGGTGTAAAGACTGTTTCTGCAGCCTCTGCAATGACAAGTCAACCACAGATGATGAGTCTTGAGTGTCAGACAGGATACTTAGAGGTGTCCCCAAACTTGTCCTGGGGTACTTGTTTATCAGTGGAGTACATTTGCAGTAGCTCATAACTTTAGACATACACTGAATGGTTCAGACATTTCTAACACCTTAGAGTGATGTTGGATGCCTCTTTTGAGAAATGAGGGTGTCACATGCAGAACAATCCCTGTATTCAATGCACCTTTCACAGGTTTCTTTTGAGATGCATATTTAGTCTTTTGTTTTCTTTAGCTGCTAGGTCAGTTGAAGTGCATATGCAGTTTCCTTGGCTTCACTGGCTCAGCCTTTCATTTAAAGGGTTTTCTTAGGTACACGTGTGATGAATGCATCAGGACTCTGCCAATAATTTTAACCACTTCTATTATTTTATGGCATGGGTCTGGTATTGGGTACCACAAGCCCTCCACTGTCTCAACACCTAATGGGTTGTAAGCCAATAGCGGAGTTTAATTGTCTTGTGGCAGTCTTGTGAGCACAACCCCATCTTGCCCCAGCCCCTGTCCTGCATTTTTATGCAAGAGACAGGGTTTTTGTATGCGGCAGGTAAATGGTTGGGAGGTGGGGAGGCTTAGGGGTCGAGAGCTGGGATGCCTGGGTTCTGGGGTTGGCCTTATCTCTGCCCATCATGAGGGGGGCTGCCCCTGGAGGCACAGGTTCAAGGTGTTGGGGGCAGGGGGTGGGGAAAGGTCCCTTTTAACCCTTCCACTTCCACAGTCCTACCTCCAGGGGCAAAGGGGCCTGGATCCCAGCTTCAGCCTCTGACTCTGGACCCCAGGAGTCCTGGCCATGCCCCTCCAAACCCACTTGACACCCAGATCTGGGAAGTGAACCCAGGTGTCTGGGCTCTCAGCGCCCCCCACTCGCATCCCAGAGCTGGAGAGAACCGAGGTGTCCAGGACCCCAGCCCCCTGCTCTGACCAC